TGGGGTACAGAGTAGCGTGGCGTGGCGGTGATAATAGTAGATTGGGAGTCGTTTGCAAGGGGTCGATGAGGGTGTCTTAGGTCGGCGGGGCTAGTACCAGTGTCTGGAGGGACCTGTAACCAGGGGTACCTAGGTATTCGGGGGCGATTCAAGCCCCCAGATTAAGCGGGGCGATTCGTCAGTTCCAGGCCGCAGCATTTGGCAGTGTGGGCCGAGTACCTACGAACTTCGAACAAAGTTTACCCAAAGACGATATTTTACAGGAGCAAGAACCTGTACAAGTATAGCCGCCTTTTACATGTTTTGATATGTTATGAATACATCAAAGAATTAACAAGCGTTTAATATCTAATAACAGTGATATAGAGGCTAGTAATATGCCCTCGGTAAGGGCAGCTTGCTGAAAGATAGCTGAAGTACCTAAGTTTCATGGAAGCGGAACGGTACAGTAGGTTTTGGGCCAGCTGAGCGGCGGTGTAGGTCGTAGGAGGTAGGAAGGAGACAACCTATTATCAGCCCATGACATCTGTACAAAGACCCGTGATTGGCCAGTTCCCAACACCGCCGCACAGTCACCTCCGACACCTATTCTGACATATGACTCCTCCACTAACCTGACACCAAAGGCTACCCGATATCTTGGTGTTTCCAATCACTTGAATACCTATACCCTTTTTTCTTCAATAGGATTTTTATAGCTACACAAACTACGTATACCATGGCTTCGTTGAGCATCTAGTGAGAGCGTGCTTCCTTGATCCACGGCCTAACAGATCTCTCGATATTGACCACAGCGCCGAAAATGATAATACGACGGCAGGTTGTGCAGATGGCTTACGACTTTTCAATAGTAATGGAATTCTTAGCAATGTGTATAAGAAGAAGAGCATAAACAAAACTTACGGCCCCGACGGACATAATTCCCATCTAGACCTCTCGACTGGTGAGGCGACAAAACAGACAGCTAGCTGGTCGCCCAGTCATCTATACAGCTCACTGCACCGCGTGGGATAACACAGAGCTTGCACAGAGCTTGCCATGGCTTCGGTCTTTACTTTCCCTCACGAGCCGCCCCGGGTCAGCTCGCCATGGAGATCTGGCTCGGATGCTGGGAAACGCCCCGGCGATGAGCGGTCTGCATCGACCAGTGCAATTGTCGACCCAGAACCGGCGTCTGACTCTGAGGTCGAAAGGCTCGAGGCCGAGCCTCAAGAGGGGCCGATTGAGTACAAACTCCATCTTTTATTGCGCCCTCGAAGAACCTATAAATCAATGAGCACGTCTCTCGGCTCTGCAGGATATCGAGCGAGCAGGAAATTGAAAGAAGCCAAGCTGGCCAAACAGTTGGTCCCAGTGATATCCTCAAATCATAGTAGACAAAATCGGCTACACCATCTAACCACGCAGTTGCTCTGGCGACTTAAACAGTCATCGCCAGAACATGCCACGGCAAGGGGAGACCTTGTCGTGCCCAAATTGCCTGAAGACGGCACCGAGCTCACCGTTTTGCAGGAGCCTGGTCAACTACTTCCCGGCCTGGAGGAGTCCAATGGAGCCCTTTACGAGATAGGAGTTGCTGATGACGGCACGTTCGTCGGCTTGACTAAGGAAGAGATGGACGAGAGCATGATGACACTGAAGGTGATGGCTGCTAGTTTAGGCTGCAGGGTGGAAGTACAACGAATGAAGGCCGTCGGCACTTGCGACTGGCTTGAGGATCCCGAGAAGCCGCGCTCTAAGTTACACCATGAAGATCTGTGGGTTGCGGAAGCTTTGATTCTCCCAATTCTGGACAGGCAAAACGATGCTGTAGCGGATGAGGGTAGTTCTGCGGTCAACAGTGCTCCCAGAAGAGGGGCATCCACTTCGGAGCAACTGCGTGTCTCATTAATAGGGCCGACTACTACAGGGAAGACAACGCTTCTAGGTACACTTGCGAATGGCACCTTAGATGATGGCCGGGGTCGGAGCAGGAGTTATCTACTAAAGCATCGCCATGAAGTCGCTTCTGGACAAACCAGCTCTGTTGCTCAGGAACTTATAGGATACGAGGGCAGGAGTATATTCAACTACACTTGTATGGATATCAAAGCTTGGCCTGATATCCACGACCGTGCTCAAGACGGCCGACTAGTTTTCTTGTTAGACTCGGCCGGTCACCCTCGATACCAACGGACGACCCTTCGAGCGCTGGTCGGATGGGCTCCGCATTGGACTCTGCTCTGCATTGCGGCAAGTGAGGAGAATGCCATCTCAGCCGGTACACATTCTTTGACAGGCGCGGATGGAGCTCTTGGTATTGGGATCGATGAAATGGATCTTGCTATGGCACATCTCGACTTGTGCCTAAGGCTTGACATCCCGCTTGCCATCCTGATAACAAAGATTGAGAAAGCACAGCGTGTCCGGCTGAGGGAGAAACTGAACAGCATATTCACGAAAGTCAAAGCTACAGGCAGGGCACCAAAGCTTCTCACAGGTTCTGGGCCTCCAGCTGCAGACTTCTCCGAGATAGCAGAGGGAGACCAAGCAAAAGTTCATACCGAAGTGATCGAAGCAATCACCGAAGCCGGCGACCCGCTAGCGATAGTCCCAATCGTTCTTACGAGTGCCATTACAGGGGCGGGCATTGGATTAGTGCATGCACTACTAGCGGGCTTACCGGTGCCGCCTATGCCAACTGCTCAGGACTTTGTTCCTCTAACGCTCAATCCCGAGCAGCCTGCGGCTCTATTTCACATTGATGAGGTATTCGAGTTAGCTCGTAGCCGAGCGCAGAGCGCGCTGGACCAGGCATCTGACGGGAGCGCACCTGTTGTCACCGGGTATCTACGCTTTGGGAGGTTATCAATCGGAGACAAGGTAGTTCTGGGTCCTTTTCCAGCGGACGACGAAGATGGAGAAGCTCTCATCCCGAATGACCATCCTTCCCCGGGATATGGGTTGTCGATACCACACCCGTCGTCAGCAGAATATGCTCGCTTGAGCCAACGAAATCCTTTGTCGGCCTCTAAAATTGAGGGCGAATGGCGAAATGCTACCATAGTCAATATCCGTGAACTTCGATTGCCGGTCCAATCTATCGAGGCCGGCCAGGCAGGTTCCATCCAGGTTGTCTTTGATGAGCTTCACGAGGAGTCATCTGATACCGAAGATGTGATAGAGAAGCATGTCAATTTAGCCCCTAGGATTCGCAAAGGTCAAGTTTTGGCCATGCCTAGTCGTCACATGATCGAAACAGGGCTGACACTTCAAGCTTCAACCGGTTTCAAAGCTTGTTTTTCGGCAACGGAGATACAGTCACTCGCCGTTAACAGCTTAGTCAATGCGTATGTTGGTACGATACGTGCAGCAGTTCGAGTGTTGCGAGTCATACGGCAAAAATCCCAACACGACCGACGAAGAATAGGGAGCGAGGACAATGATGACATTTTCGGCATAAATGATCATTTCGAACTCGAGCGCACGAAATCCGAAGCCGACTTAGATCTATATAACACGGAGTACCACGTTTCATTGGAACTTTTATCAAATAGAGAATGGATTGAGCTTGGCTCTCGTGTGGTCCTGCTCGAGGGCGGCATCCGAGACAAATCCGCGGGACTGGACGGTTTCGTAGGCAAAGTGATTGAGGTTTCGGAATAGGTTATTGTCTATAAAGGGAGCATGAAGTGAGCTAGTCGATTTTAGATATATTAATTCAGCGAACCTGGTTATTTCAATTGCATAGCTGATGGGAAAGAAATGAGTAAATAATAAAATATGTTTTCACCGTGCCCAGAACGCCATATAATGTTGTCGTGAGACGTGGCCATGTGAATCGCCCAATATTACGCCCGAACTAAACCATAGAACAACGTCCAAGTTAATATATACCCCGCTAGTCCACCAAATAGAGCCCCCGTCCAGAATTCGTACGAGGATCTAAAGTATCGGCTTGTGTCGAGCATGCCGTGGCCGGCTTTTAGCGACGTGGGCGCAACGCGGATCGCATATAAGAGGCCGGTGGAGAGGATGGTGAAGACGAAGTAGAAAAGAAAGCCACTGTAGGACTCGAGGCCTAGAATGCCAGCCGCGGCGCCAAATATAGAGGCTGTGAGATTCTGGAGGTTCGATAGAACCTACGAGATTATAACACGAGAACGTTAGCATTGGGTCTCAGTTTAATGGACAAAGACAACAGCGCAGAACAACAGGCAACATTGGGCACTCAAGCGCGGTTTCGTCATCCCACTTGCTCTCGCCTGATTGCGCTCTCCTGCCTAGCGCGCAGCCCAACTCATTGCCACAGTGACTTCCCGGTCGCAATTCGTGTGGGTGCTGGCATCGCTGTCGCCGATCCGTGACTGGAATGTACAATGTGTGCGACAGATGGTATTCACCTTTGTGTTGTGCATCACCGACTCCGGTACAATCGGGGCAATCTGGAACTCTCTTTCAGTCGGCATGGCTGCTGCGCGCAAACGGTCTATGCGCACAATAGGGGGTTGAATCTCGATCCGAGCGTTCTTTGTTGTCTGTCGGCTCGGCCTAGGGGTTTGGGCGTGAAGTGAGTCTGATTTTCGATGGCTTCGTGAGGTACAGTACAATGCTTGCTTTGCTGTGAGGCTAGGATAAGGTAAGGCATGGCCAGTTATCGCAAAACACCGAACCTTGAGCTATCGTGCCACGCGATCTTCCGCCAATCAATCCCCTGGCTACCCGCCCACCGGACGATCGCTAAGCTTTCATAGAGGGGCGAATGCTGCCTGAAACGACGCCGCTGGGCGTACTTTGGATGCTACCTAGACAGGGACCGTACGAACAGCACTCGGTTACCTAGGTGGGCCCCAGCCCTGTTTTCAGCAGGAGCGATGTTGCTGCGAGGTTCTTAGGTTTCACCAAATGCCAAGTTGAAGTATGCAACAAACTAAGTTTAACGCATTTGCCGCTTTATCTCAGGCTGGGCTCGGCCAGCTACTATACACTTTATAAATTTGTCTAACTGTGCATAATAACAACCCGGAGTGTTGTAATGGTATCATCCTCGTAGTTGACGCTTGGCCATGGCCATGCCCTTCGGGGGCCCGGGGGATCTGGGTTCGAATCCCGGCTCCGGGAAACTGATATTTTTTTCTCCGAGTTTTCTTTTTACTGTTCAAGTGACTTCCTGGGAAGTCGCTCGAACACATCTGTGGGTTATGCTCAGGCAGGCTCCGATTAACAGCAGCATGCTCAGGTTAAAAGCAGCATGCTCAGGTTACCTAATTACATCTTTATTCCGATTTGGGATAGTAAAACCCATCTTACAGTAAGTACACTAACTTTTAGCGACCTAGTACAGGGTAGGCACGCTAAAATAGTATGGGGTAATGGGTAATCTCCGTACCTACATATGTGCTGCAGCTCCGGTCATTGCGTCGGTTGCATTGCCCCGTGATACCCTTGTTGCCAATCTCGAAGTGCAGGTGAACGAAAGCAGCTGCACGTCTCCGACGGCGTGACAACCTTCCCTTTCAACCGCGACCCGGGTCTGTGGTCCGAATCCGCTCCTTTTCTAGCCTCACGCTCTGTTACCTGCCTACTAGTACTATCTATTGCCCATCACTGTAATTAGCGAATAGGCTGTCTAGCGCAGTGAATGTCGTGTACCATACAGGCGCCGTATTGATTCTCACGCCTCTTACATCGCCTCCTTTCCTCCCATGCCACGTCGCGGCTGTGCCATTCCTCGACTTTCCCTCGTGCTGTCCTGTGCCTGATCGCCGCAACCTCGACGCTCTCCGTGAACGCCACGTCAAGCTAAGCGAATCGCCGCAGTCCTGCGCAGATGGACGCGCACCCTCGTGCAATTCGGTGATTATATGGAGACTCACGTCGATGAGGGTTCGCCTTTGAGCAACTACCTCGAGGGTACGTTTTCTACCAACCCATGGTTTTAGTACCTGTAACAGACTTCTCTATCCGTGTTTGCATTTTCTCCCGAAAAAAAAAAATAATAAGAGTCGTTTCAAGCCCGTGTCACAGAACGCTAAAAGAAATATGCAAACAGCTACGGGAGAGCGGGAGGACGAGTGGGAGTGGCAGGAGCCGGAAGATAGCGCGCACGACATCTCACCGCCGTCGACACCGCCACACGATTTTGCGCCGCGAGGTTTAGCCAAAGTTCGGAGGAGGTTTAGGGACGGGCTAGCAAAGCCGATGGAGCTCGAGCTTCCCAGCCTGCCTACCCGTATCGATTTCGACAACATCCAGAGCCATGCTTCTCCTGTTCTGGAAGTGTTTCGCTTCTTGCTCGACACGGTAACATCTTCTATCGACCATGCTCGCTCTATCGGGTTCCTCGAGCGGCTCCGCCTCGCCATCGTACAGTCCCAGCTACTGGACAACCCCCTTACTCTGGGCTATCAGTCATTAGCAGAGCCTACCGTGTCGCAGCCACCCGCCGAGCTGAACTTCCATGGTATCACAACGTCGGGTGTCATAGCTGCGGCGGTCTTCGGCTTTGGCCTAGCTTCGCTCGCGCGCTGGTATTCGCTGGGCGGTTTTCTGCCGACATGGAAGCGTCTGCTAGTTTCGGTCGCTTTGATGGTCACTATGCTCTATGTCGTCAGGGCTTATGTCCGCAGAGAAGTTCTGCGGAACATTCAGCGACAGGGTTTAATGCAATCGGCATCTTTTTTTACGCTCTCGCGCGACTTTGATTGCGCCAATAGTGCGGCCCTGAATTTCATTATGGAAGTGGAGCTCGTGGCTCGTGGGTACCGACTGTAAGGACACTATGTCTGTCATTTTCATGAAGAGCAGGGAGCTAACTTATCAATAGGAGTACACCCATACCGCCTATTAGCAGGCTCGAGAAAAATGGCCAAAATATTAAGTGCCTTCAGCTTAGGCATGCTGTTCGCACCAGTCTGGCCGAGGTGATATCAACGTACTACCAGACGGCCTTTACGATCTGGGGATTCGCAGAACAAACGGAGTTACTGCAATTGCAATCACAGTACCAGTTCACGGTGGCAGACGTTGTGGACCGATTTCACCTGTTTTCGAATAGCGATGTGAAGGAAGGCGAGAAATTGCAGTCCCTCAAAGATGCCGCCTATCTTTTTCATGATATTCGTAAGGTGTTCCTCAGTGGTTTGCTTGCGCTTCATACTACTGGTAAAGATGCCGATCGCCTACGTTTCACAACAGTGTTAGAGGCATTTAAGGAACTAAATGTTGTGACGAAGCACGCCTTCACAAGATTAAGTACTGTTTTAGCTGAGAACGACTGTAGGTGCTATTTTGCCCTCTTTATGCCCGCACGTCTAATCAAACTCGCAGATCAATTTAATCAGCTACCCAGAGTTCCTAAATCACCATTATCGCCCAATCATGATCGGTGGCAGTTCCAAGTCCGACGCCTGGGTTCCATGACCATGAATATTCGCAGCGTACAGGCTAAGCTGCATCTTCTGCAGGAGGAGTCAAACAAGGCACTGAACGAAGCTGATAATATCACTGATTTGGGTCCCCTTTTCATGGCGCAGTATGATTCAATAGGGCAGGACTTGCGTGAGTTGATGGAGGCCTGGCAGTCCGGAAAGAGGGCATTGCAATCTGGCATCAATAGAAACGAGAAGCGAATCTCATCTATTGGATCCGTGATCGCTTCTCCCACGAGCACAATGAGCGGGCGAACGATTGCCGGAGACGAGAGCAGCACGGACGAACAGGAGCCCGGCGTAGAAGATGCCTTGAGGAAGCTCACCGGAGATGCACCGCCAGCAGCGGATACAGATCCGCAGATTGAGCCCGAGGTCTTCGAAGCGATCTCCGTGCCACGACCAAGAAGCATGTTGACAAGAGAAGAGAGAATTGTGCGCATGAGGGAAGACCGCAAAGCCAAGGAGATCTCTAGAGCCAAAGCGGACACGTATAGAGGCATGGTCCAGGAACTGCAAGGTGTCCTCGGCAAAAAGAGTACCAGAGGTCGAGTGTCTTTATGAGGCCTACATGCCGGCACCCAAGCTCCGGCTATAAAACTTATGATGAATCAATAACGACATGATCATGTTTGGCGTATTGGGTATAGAGCATCTCATTCACTTGGCAGCATTCTCTCCTAGCGTTTGGCGCAACGGGCATCAGAGTAGGACTAGTCATGGACGTGGCATAGATACTAGACTCACAAGCAATCACTTAGAGCATAATCTTTCTTCTGTATTATAAGAAAGCTGTACATAGCACAAAATACCAAACAGTACCTGCTATAAACGCCTTCTCTTTCAAGTCACTGTACACTACATATGTGTGCTTCAAAATCACATCGACCCCTGAACTATAGGTACTAGCCGAGGTAACATAGTTGAGTTCCCATCACAGCCCAGTGAAATGCGGCTGAGATGCCCAAGTTACAATCAAAGCTGCAGCTGCATGCAGCTGCGGGGCTCAACGTCGCGCAACTTTCGCGCTTGCCATTAAAACCCTGGCACAGACGCGTCGGCCCACGCGCCAGCAGTTTAAGAGCTACCTAATAATTCTCCCTGCATTCCGCATATCGCCGTCGAAAGCACAACTCAACTCACACGACAACACGCACCTTCCGCATCTACACTTTGCCGCAAAATCTCACTTCGTAACTGTACCTTACTTGTGTCCTCTTTTTTACCTATCCATCCTCACGCATATCATCCTCTCCTGTTCTCATCGCCAAAGTCATCTCACACTACCGTCAAGATGCTGGAAGCCAGACTTAGTCAGTCGATGGTCCTGAAGAAGGTAGCCTCACTCTTCTCACACAATGCGTTGTGCATCCATACTAAGAACAAGCGAATCGTAGGTGGTGGACGCTATCAAGGACCTGGTACAAGACTGCAATTTCGACTGTAATGACTCGGGCATTGCGCTGCAAGCCATGGACAACTCCCACGTCGCCCTCGTGTCCATGTTGCTCAAGGCCGAATCTTTCGAACCCTACCGATGCGACCGCAACATCGCCCTGGGCGTCAACCTGGTCTCGCTCACCAAGGTTCTGCGTGCCCTTCAGAACGACGACCTCGTCACCCTCAAGGCCGAGGACGCGCCCGACTCGTTAAATATTACCTTCGAGAGCAGCAGCGCCGACCGCATCAGCGAGTATGACCTCAAGCTCATGGACATCGACCAGGAGCACCTGGGTATTCCCGACACCGAGTACGCTGCCACAGTGACCATGCCTTCGGGCGAGTTCAAGCGCATCTGCACAGATTTACAGGCCATGTCGGAGTCAGGTATGCCACAGCTGCTGCTTCTACTGCTACCTAGTGTAGGCCAAAGACCCATCGTTCTAACATAATTGTGGATAGTCACGATTGAGGCGACGAAAGACGGCATCAAATTCTCCTGCGCCGGCGACATTGGCAACGGTGCCGTGACCCTGCGAAACTACCAGAACGTCGAGAAGGAGCACCTAAACGTGGACATCGAGCTCACCGAGCCCGTTTCTCTGACCTTCTCCCTGAAGTACCTGGTCAACTTCTGCAAAGCGCAACCACTGTCGGATAGAGTCAAGATCTGTCTCTCTAACGAAGTGCCCCTCTTGGTGGAATATCTCGTAACAGGCACGAGTTATCTGCGCTTCTACCTGGCACCTAAGGTCCGTCCTTATATACCACAAGAATTCTTGCGTGTTGGCTCTATACTAATCAAATGATCTACAGATTGGAGACGAAGAGTAGAAGATTGCTTAGACAACCCATACGTGACGACGACCGCGACGAAGATACTATACCATTGGAGGCCGAAAGGAAAAGGGGAGAATGTTCTGTGAGGGTAGGATATTATAGCACTGTGACTTGGCGAGATACCTTGTTCCCGTTTGCTTACGGATAGTTTCAGTCGCGCAGTTAGATGGCACCAACGAGAAGCAATAGATCTATGGTTGGCGTGCCTAAATTAATATGCAGTAGATGAAAAAAGAGCTACTACCATACAAGAACTCAGGACACCGTTTACCCTTATTTCTTCCACTTGTCAAGTTATAATGCTCCTCCAATCACGACACTATTGTGCGTTCACGACCTCGACTCAGGCTATGGGCAGCAGGATAGAGCCCACCTGCGCGTGCATCGAGTTTTGCTGGACATGTAGCGATT